CATTTATACCCGCAATATGATGTGCTAATGTTGTTCCTATGCTCCCTGGAACAATAAATCTTTATGTCCCACATGTAACAGAATGCTTTATTTGTGTTCAACCATTTCTTTTTCCCTGAAAACTAACTCGATGCTTTCCTCTCCGTCGTGTTCCACACATGGCAGGTCGCGAGAACAGGTCGGGCAGCGCTAATCCGTGAATCCAGGGTTGACTCCAAGTACCTCCGCGGCTATTCTCTTCCACTGTAATAAGAAGTCGTGTGCAACGACGACCCAAGAAGGGTCATTAGGTTGGTTGAGCTGAGCAGAATGTGTAGGCAGCACATCTTTTCGTGCGGCTGTGTTCTTGTTTAGGATGACTTGTTTCCTCTGTGGTAATGTGTTGACTTGTTGAATAAATTGCTCTTGGTAGATGCAAGTCGAGGTTTGCCCATGTGTTGCACCGACAAGCAGAATAAGGAGTACATGCTTCCTTGTCTCTGCATTGCTTGTAAGCTGTAATTGTCAGTTGGGACTAGTATCTGCTAAAATGCACTCTTCAAGCGTTTGTGGTGTATCGCGTACTGAATGAATAAGTGCGGCGATCTACCTTGTTGATGCCGGTCCGGAAGTAAGAAGGCGGTCGCCCGCTATGAACTTCGATGTGATTTTTAAAATTTTCCAGAGCCTGTTTGTACTGCGGATTCGGCCGGATAGCCACGAGCAAAGAGGTTATTGACACGGAGCTCGAGATGTTGGCGGTGCTCCGGTACGAACTCGGCGGTCGCACGGCCTACACCTTCGTGGACCACTTCGCCATGCACGGCAAAGGAGAACAAGACTTGGGAGGTTCGGCGGTTGGCGCGTTACCTCGCCCAGACAGCGCCTCCTCGACTACGGATGCCTGCCATCGGCTATCGCGGCGTCGGCCTCTCTCTACCAGACGGCCAGCCACCGCAGTGGAATAAAGATTTCGAGGAGCTGACTGGGTACAAGCACATGGACCTTTTTGACGAAAAGCAAATCAGCAGCATTTCATTGATGAAGAAGAAGACATTACAAAGCTCAAGATGAGCACACATCCAGACCTCATCGCTGGGATTTGAATTCTGCCTTGTACAGGATAAACCCAGATCTTCGTTTCCTGATCTTGCCAGCGTTATTTGCAGTACCTATATAGCTTGAGCTGAGCTGTAGGAGAAGAAAGAGAATTAGGGATGCAGAAGCACTTGGATCTTGCCTTCCAGTTGACGTCCATATGTTCCCTCAAAAAAAAAGAAAAAAGAGTTGACGTCCATATGCATGTGCATTTGGAGTTCCTGCGATGCAAAAGGAACTCGGTTTTGCCTGAGTTGCGAGTTACAACGTGAATACATGCATCGTAAATCTCAGGATTCACATTTGTACTGTTCTTTCAATCTGATTTGCAGCAATCAATATATACGCATTTTTCCTCTGTAACTCGTATGTGGATTCGTGGTGATTGCTGCAAATGTCGAGCTCCGGCAGCCGCTCCGATGACAAGGTGGATCCGGAGTATGAGTTTGCCCTCCACATCGCCTTGGAGCGGTCCAAGGTGGACACCGGGAGCAGCTCCGGCTCTGCAGCCTCACCGCAGCCGCCCGCGCTTCCTCGTCGGCACATCTTGGACGCCGATGCTGGCCCCTCCCGGCCCATGGGCAGCTCCGACAAGCGGCCAGCGCAATCGGCGCCTCCCATCGCCCCGCCGGCTGCTGCTTCCCCGCGCCGTCCCCTCGCCCCGCCGGCTGCTGCTCCCCCTCGTGGGCAGCGGTGGGTGCTTGTGCCTGCCCTGCCGGCCTGGATGCGCACGCCGGAGTCGGAGGCACGCGCCGCCCGCCGCGAGAGGCAACGGGTAAGGGAGACGGGGGCTGTGGAGAGCTCTGTCCGCTGCCGGCGGAGCCCGACGAGTACCAGCGGCTCCTCGCGTTGTTTTATCGCCGGTCGCTTACGACGGCGGAGACGGACGCTTGGTGATACGTCTCCAACGCATCTATAACTTTTTATTGTTCCATGCTGTTTTATTATTAATCCTGAATGTTTTATAATCATTTTATAGTCATTTTATACCATTTTTTGGTACTAACCTATTGACATAGTGCCAAGTGCCAGTTGCTGTTTTTTGCACGTTTTTTACATCGCAGGAAATCAATATTAGATGGAGTCCAGACGCAACGAAACTTCACGGAGATTTTTTATGGACCAGACGGAAGATATTGGGCCTTGATTGCACCTGGGAGGAGTCCCGAGGAGGGAACAACCCACCAGGGCGCGCCAGGAGGCCCGGGCGTGCCCTGGTGGGCTGTGCCCACCTCGGGTACCCCCCGGACCGCCTCTTTGCTCTATAAATACCCCCAAAAATCCCAGAACCCTAGGGGAGTCGACGAAATATTCATCCAACCACTGCAGAGTCCAGAACCACCAGATCCAATCTAGACACCATCTTGGATGGGGTTCACCACCTCCATTGGTGCCTCTCCCATGATGCGTGAGTAGTTCTTTGTAGACCTTCGGGTCCGTAGTTAGTAGCTAAATGACTTCCTCTCTCTCTTTTGATTCTCAAAACAATGGTCTCTTGGAGATCCATATGATGTAACTCTTTTTGCGGTGTGTTTGTTGGGATCTGATGAATTTTGAGTTTATCATCAGTTATATATTTTTACATCCATGAAAGTTATTTGAGTTTCTTTGATCTCTTATATGCATGATCTCTTATAGCCTCGTATTTCTTCTCCGATATTTGGGTTTTGTTTGGCCAACTTGATCTATTTGTCTTGCAATGGGAAGAGGTGCCCGGTAGTGGGTTCGATCTTACGGTGCTTGATCCCAGTGACAGAAAGGGAACTGACACGTATGTATCGTTGCTACTAAGGATAAAACGATGGGGTGTATCTCTACATAGATAGATCTTGTCTACATCATGTCATCGTTCTTATTGCATTACTCCTTTTTCCCATAAACTTAATACACTAGATGCATGCTGGATAGCGGTCAATGTGTGGAGTAATAGTAGTAGATGCAGGCAGGAGTCGGTCTACTAATCTTGGACGTGATGCCTATGTAATGATCATTGCCTGGATATCGTCATGATTATTTGAAGTTCTATCAATTGCTCAACAGTAATTTCTTTACCCATCGTTTGCTATTTTTCTCGAGAAAAGCCACTAGTGAAACCTACGGCCCCCGGGTCTTCTTTCTCATATATTTGCCTTTGCGATCTACTTTTTCTTGCATTTATTTTCAGATCTATTAAACCAAGAATACAAAAATACTTTGCTGCACTTTATTTTATTTGCGATCCATTTATTCAATCTATTACAACTTTCTCCCATCAATACACAATTTCTAGCACCGTTACCCGAAAAGGATTGATTGTTAGGGAACGTAGTATTTCAAAAAAAATTGCTTACGATCACGCAAGATCTATCTAGGAGAAGCATAGCAACGAGCGGGAAGAGTGTGTCCACGTACCCACATAGACCGAAAGCGGAAGCGCTAAATAACGCGGTTGATGTAGTCAAACGTTTTCGCGATCAAACCGATCAAGTACCGAACGCACGGCACCTCCGCGATCTGCACGTGTTCAACTCGGTGACGTCCCTCGAACTCCTGATCAAGCTGAGGCCGAGGGAGAGTTCCGTCAGCACGATGGCGTGGTAACGGTGATGATGAAGTTACCGGCGCAGGGCTTCGCCTAAGCACTACGACGATATGACCGAGGTGTAAAACTGTGGAGGGGGGCACCGCACACGGCTAAGAGATTGTCTGTTGTGCCTTTGGGTGCCCCCTCTGAAGGAAATATGCCCTAGAGGCAATAATAAAGTTATTATTTATTTCCTTATATCATGATAAATGTTTATTATTCATGCTAGAATTGTATTAACCGGAAACATAATACATGTGTGAATATATAGACAAACAGAGTGTCACTAGTATGCCTCTACTTGACTAGTTTGTTAATCAAAGATGATTATGTTTCCTAACCATAGACAAAGAGTTGTTATTTGATTAACGAGATCACATCATTAGTTGAATGATCTGATTGACATGACCCATTCCGTTAGCTTAGCACCCGATCATTTAGTATGTTGCTATTGCTTTTTTCATGACTTATACATGTTCCTATGACTATGAGATTATGCAACTCCCGTTTATCGGAGGAACACTTTGTGTGCTACCAAACGTCACAACGTAACTGGGTGATTATAAAGGTGCTCTATAGGTGTCTCCAAAGGTACTTGTTGGGTTGGCGTATTTCGAGATTAGGATTTGTCACTCTGAATGTCGGAGAGGTATCTTTGGGCCCTCTCGGTAATACACATCACTTAAGCCTTGCAAGCATTGCAATTAATGAGTTAGTTGTGAGATGATGTATTATGGAACGAGTAAAGAGACTTGCCGGTAACGAGATTGAACTAGTTTATTGGATACCGACGATCGAACCTCGGGCAAGTAACATACC